GCCATGCTAATCTTCTCTATATCGTTATAATTTTAGTATATGTGCTGCCAAAGCGAGCACCATTTTAGCCATTTTTAAGTGTACAACCCAGTGGCATTAATTACATTCACAATGTTGTGTAACCATCACCATAGCTATTTCCAAACCTTTTTCAACACCCCACACAGAAATTCTGTACCCATTAAGCAATAACTCTCTGCTTCCCTTTCCCCCAGACACTGGTAACCTCTAATCTACTTTCTGTCTCTATGGATTTGATGGTGTTCTTTAAAGCTCCTGAGCACCAAATATTAATCTCAATTAGTTTCCAAAACGTTCGTCCAACTTAAAAGGCTCCAAGTTGAAAATTATAATACATAAACTACATGGGCATAAAACCTTTAATTTTGGGACTTCCCTGGTGGTTCAGTGGGTAAGACTCCGTGCTCCCAAGGCAGGGGGCCTGGGGTTCGATTGCTGGTCGGAGAACTAGATCCCACATGCATGTCGCAACTAAGAAGTCTGCATGTCACAACTAAAAGATCCCGCATGCCGCAACTAAAGAAAAAAAAAAAAAAGATCCCCCATGCCATAACAAAGATCCTGCGTGCCACAACTTAAGACCCGGCACAACCAAAATAAATAAATAAATTTAAAAATAAAACCTTTAATTTTTTCCCCTTTAATTAGCTTTCTCCATCCAGTCCCAAACAGGGAGAACAAGGTCAGTGAGAGATCACACACAAGCCTCCTCTCCCTTCTAAGACCGGCTCCTTGTCCAATTTGTTTTGTAAGATCAGGATTCTTGATCGTGTTAAAGTAGGAACCAGGAGGTTAATTAATGCTACAAGGCAACTGTTAGATCAGGGACCAGCTGAGGGCTTTTTTGATTCCTCACCACACTGTTTTTTTCTCTGCTATTTTTGAACATTCTATTTCAAATACAGGCAATATATCTTCATTCTTTAGAGCAGGGTTGTTAACCTGAGGTCCTGGGATGGTCTGTGGATAAACCATTCAGTAAGTCCATTTACTTCAAGGGGAATAAAACGACATCTTTATTTTAATTAACCTCTAACTAAAGACTACGTTTCCTTCACTTAAGGAGAAACCACAGCAGTAGTAGCAGCACCTGTCACTTTAGAAGCACTCGTAGAAATCGGTGATATTTTCGTAGTGCATCTTGGTTGTTGCAGAAACTTTGAAGCATCATTTACACTAATCCTATTTTGAAATTACCTTAATCCGTAGAGGTGCTGCTAGAACTTGCTATTTAAAGTGTTAAGAAACAAACACATATATTATCACATCACAAGTTAAAAAAATGTATTTTGATTACGTTTAGTATTTTGACTGAATTTCAGGGTAACTGCTTTTCTCTGCAAGCTTACTTCATGAGTTTTAAAAAAAAGCTTCAAAACTGTGCGGGGGTCTCTATGCTTCACCAGACTGCCAAGGGGTCTGAGGCACAAGAGAGGTTAAGAACCCCCGGCCTTTTGAGGGGGTCACTGTAGACAACTTCCTACTTGCGGGATGGCAGTTTGGGCCAGATGCATCTTTTTAAAGGATTTTGGGGGAATGATTGGGATTCACTACTCAACACTTACATTAGTGCACTGCTTAGCTGTCTCGTAACACTAGGCACATGAGAACACTTCTTGGTGCCAGGAATTTCCCTTCTTCTAACCCAAAAGGGCTCACACTTGGCTGAGTTAGACGCGCCCGCCAGAAAAAAACGATTTGAATTGTCACTGGTATACCACTTCCATTGCTGAAGGAAACTGACACCTTCAGGGCCATAAAATACCCAGCTTTCCATTGTGATGGGGCAGGCACAAGTGTGGACCCTCGTCCTCCCCCAGCATACATACCTCAATTCTATGGCAGTGACCTCCTTGGAGCAAGGTCAGCCTTATGTCTGGAGGCAGGACACAGCATTTGCCACTTCTTGGTCTGGCTGGTGGGTGGCTGCAGAAGGGGAAACCCACCCCATGTGGTCAGGCCTGGGCGCCCTCCCAGGGAGACCCTGCACCCTGGGTTTACCCTGGAACCCTGTTTCCAGGTCACCCTTGGTCAAGTGCAAGGGCCCAGATCTAGCCTCAGTGTGGATCTGCCTCTGGGTCGAGGGCCCCCTCCCAGAAGAGTGCATTGATGGCAGTGGCTTGTCTCTCCACGGCTCTGAGTGCTTTATCTTGGAGATTTTGGGGTAGCCGAAAGCATCCTTCTGTGGCTTATGTAGGGGGACATCCAACCCCACCTCTTACCTGAAGGAGAGCTGGGAGATGGACAGAAAAGGTTTGGATGGTGTAGTCCCGGGCTGGAGAGAGACCGACAGTCCTTTGGAGCTTCTTGGTGAAGACAGCAGACGTCTCTTCCTTCTCTTTAGGCATGGGGTTGGAGCTCGTGTTCTCCACAGCCCCCTCCAGGTGGAGCAATCCAAGTGGGTCCAGTAAGGGCTGTACTGTCCGCCAAAGCCTCAAGCCAGAGATTCCCTTGCACCGCCCCCCACCCCCCACCCCGCTTCCATCAGTCTATATACGATCTTTCCTCCATCACTGGTCTCCTCACCTTCTATCCTGGTCCAGCTCATCACCCCTCCCCCATCACTGCAGACTCCCTGGCCTCATTTTTGCCCCTTCCAATCCATCCTCTCCTCATCCTTGGGTCCCAGGGTGATCAGTCTCAAATAGAAAACTGACCATCTCAGCCCCCATTTCAAACTGGCTCTGGTCCCCAAAAACCCTCCATTTCTGGCCTGGCACTCAAGGCCCTCTCAACCCAGGTGGTCTCATCTCCCACCCCCTGCCCCGGCCTCTGCAGGCTGCCATGCCCTCCCAGTCACCAGGGCACGTCCTCTGTGTGGTCCCAGAGCACGGCTCATCTTTCTGGCCACCCACCCACCTACCCCACGGTCCTGGCCATGCACCAAGCAGGCATCTGAAATGCTTGCTGAGGAGCAAAATCTTGAGAATGTCGCCACCATCTGTGCAACTGCTATGCCTTCCCCAGAGTCCCATCAAGTCTGGGCTTTCTGGAAGCACCACTTTGAGTGACAGGCCTCAGGGTCTCACCCTGGGGGCCACGCTGTGGAGACAGCGTCTCCTTTCCCTTGACCCCTTGCTGCCGGGCCTCCGTGCCACAGCCCTTGGAGAGCCCTCGGAGACGGCCATCATCTCTTCCACCATTCTCCCCTGAACCCACTTGACACCCTGGGAACACCTTAGGAGCAGTGCCTGACTGCCATCCTCAGAGTGGGCACAGCCCCCTTCCCACTTTCTCATGCTCTGGGTCCCTGGTTCAGCCTTCAGTGCCTTTTGCTTTTACTCCTGGGCCGATTCCTGCCTTGAGCTCTCAGCAGGTAAAGTGGCCTCCAAGGTGGCCGACTGTGTCAGGAGGGAGAGGCAGGAGGGCTGAAGGACGGCAGACCCCGTGTTCGAGTCTCAACTCCACCCCGGAGGCCACTGAACCCTTCCACTGAGGGAGCAAGGATGAAGCCTCAGGCTTGGGGGTGATGTCTGGGGCTTGGCCGTCTTGCCACTGGGGAGACTCCCGCTGCCGGAGAGGCAGGAGGCAGCCAAACAGAGCTCTCACCAGCCCCCTGTCCTCTGCCCAGCCTGAGCCTCACCCCCACAACCCCCGAGGGGGATGGGGGCTTGCACTTGGCCTGGCATAGACCCCAAACCACCACGGCACACGGGCAACAGCACGGAGCAGCTCCAGCCGCAAGGATGGAGATACTGGAAGCTGAGGTACGGCCTGTTCTGAGCACCAGCCTTGTACTCCCTCACCGTGATGGCAACAGGAGTACTGCTCGGTCACTTCCTGGTCATTTGGTGAGTCGGGACTGGGTAACTCAAGCAGAAAAGCTCTGGGAGCCCGCCAGGGGCGCTGGTGCCCCTCATACGGGGAAGGGCTTGCAGGTGCTGCAGTAGCGGTCCCAGGAGGATTAACTGTCTGGGGCTCTGAAATGCACATCATGGATGCAAGCCCTGCAAGGGCGCTCCTGGGCAGAGGGACCGTGGGTCCGTGGCCCCAGGCAGGGAGGCAGGGTTTGGACTTGGGGAGGGGAGGGCGCTTTGGTGCAGCAGGCACAAGATCCTTCTCAGGACCACTGCCTGAGGGCTGGGGTGCTGGGACCTCGAGCAGGCTGTGTGTCCAGGTGGGAGCCACAGCTGGACTTCCACCTGCAGGGAGGCAAGGGGTTGGGGTGGGGACTGGGTGGAGGGGTGTGCGGTGGGAGGACCCTCTAGGCCACTTGCAAGTTTGAATCTAGGTCAAAGGTGAGAAGCTCAGCCTCTTCCACTGCCCAGTCCCCAAGTGGGCTCATGTGGGAAAATCCTGTCCACACTGCCAGGACCTCAATGACAAACCCAAGGACACAGTTATTCTCTCCTCACCAGAGTCCAGCTCCTCACGCTGGCATTCAAGGCCCCCATACCTGGCCTCGCTCCCATCCTTCACTGTGTCCCAGGATGAGCCCTCCTTTCTCTGCTTTCCTCTACCCTCCCCCACCCCTCATTCTTGCCCCCAAAGCCTCTGCTTAGTTATCTCTCTCCCCCTTCCTCTCTCGCAGCTCTGCCAAAGCCCCCTCCCCAATCCCCGTGGGCCTCTTGGGCCCAGCGCTTTATTTCTGCACCTCATTCAGGACCGCCGGTTGTCTCCTGGTTTCACTCGCCCAACGGGGTGCCGGGTCCCCTAAGACAGACCTGGGTGGGGGCTGGGCAGGCGCCAGGCCACGGTGGGCTCAACAGGGGGCCCGTGTGTGGCTCTCCCTCCTCCCTGGCAGGCCCAGGAGGAGCCGTGCCTGAGGCCAAGGCAGAAGAAAGGACGACGGAGAGCCAGGTGCAGTCCCTAAAACAGGCTCTTTAATAACATTATGTCTTCACTGAAGAGCTTCGCTTTTCCCACCCAGCGCCGGGCGGGGGCCGGCAGGGTCCGTGGGACGGACGGCCACGTGGGCCATCGCCCCGCGGCCGGGCGGGTCCGGGTGGCCCCAGGGCCTTGGCGCCGCCCTCGCCGGCCTAGTAGAAGGAGTACTGGTTCTCGACGGCGCGCGTGCGGCCCCGGGCGCCCTCTCCCGGCCCGGCCTCTGGGGGCTCGTCGGCGCCCCCGCCCGCCGCCTCCAGCAGGCGCTCTGCGCTGTTGCTGCGGCTGCGCGCGCTCAGCGGGCCCTCGACGGGGCGCGAGGCGCCGGGCACAGACGCTGCCGAGGACGACGAGGCGGATGAGGACGAGGCGCCGCCGGCCTCCGAGGGCGAGGCGGGCGGGCAGGCGGTCGCGGCGAGGCTGGAGAGGTAGTGCTGGCCGGCCGGCTCGCTCCAGCCCGCGGGGGGCGCGGGCGCGGCGCCGGGCGAGGGCCCCGGGTCTGCAGCGGGAGACCGCGGCCGTCAGCGCCAAGCCTGGGCCCTGGCCGCCCCCGCCCCCCCAGTCCCGGCGTGCAGACAGGGGCCAGAGCCCCGGAGGAACGGGGTGGCCTGGCATCACACAGGGAGCCGGGAACCCGAATTCAGCGCGCCGGGTTCCAGCCCACCTCCCCGATAACTAAAGTCATGGGTATAGGCGGCAGCGCACACACACAAACGGCGCTCCACCCGCGTGCTGGGCACCCTCACTCACCCCTCCAAGGCTTCCTTCCTTCAACAGCTCAGCGCTGAGCCCCACCTGTGCAGGGATCTAAGGGACTCCACCCACTTCCACCTGCCGGGAATTACTCAGGACACCGGATCCCTCAGGGCTGCCACTCTCCCGCCAATCCTGATGGCTGGGTTGCTTACAACTTGCCCAAGACCGGGTGCTCATCCCACGGGTCTAGCAGGGTGGCAGCCTGATGGTGACGCCCTCCCCCACTGCCCACCTGTCTGTTTGCACGGGCCAGGTAGGGGCGTCTTACCAGGTGGGGGGCCCTGGGCCCGCACATAGCTGCGAAGGGTGATGTCTGCAGAGCCCCCGGACTCCAGCGGGATGGGGTGGGTGTGGAAGTGACGGAGCATGTCGAGCACAGACTGGAACCACAGATGCTGCACATGGCACTGCCCGTGGCCGTTCAAGGACAGGCGCAGGTGCTGTGGGCATAGATGGGTGTGGTCAGTGTGGGGTGCGGGGGTCTCAGACTGGCCCCATGCTTGGCAAGTGCCTTGGAAGGTCACGGGGAGGACCAGGTCTCACAGAGGCCACAGGGGTGGTGTCAGAGTGGGGGCGCCTCACACATGAGCCCATCTTAGGGGGGGTCATGCCTGTGGCAGGGAAGGGGAATGAGGGCCACAGAGCCAGGCTGGGACTGGAGGGAGCATGCATCTGTCCCTATGCTGGGAGCACCCACATCAGGCCCTTCGCACACCCCCTCCATCCCTAGTCTCCAAAAGCCCTAGAAGGTAGAGATTACAGCCTCCATATTAGAGATGGGGAAACCCAGGCACAGGGAGGGAGAGACTCGCCCACAGCCGCAGAGCACAGAGCTAGGAAGAGAACTCGTGTTTGGGTGACCCTCCCACCCCAGCAGCTAGGGGTCTGCCCACTGTCCCCATAGAGGCAAAGCCCAGCAGGCTGGAAACAACCCCCTGGGTGGCTGGGGAGGAATGGCTGCAGATGCTGCTCAACTGTGCTGCAGCGGGAGAGCGTGCAGCACGGAGGAACAGTGCCCACTTGGGCCAGGCGCCTCAGGGAGAGAGGAGCCACAGGCCTGTGGTCTCTAGTGGTGAGCCACAGGTCTCTGGTTTCAGCCCTTTTTTGCTCCATGTGTATATCTCACAAGGGGAAGGGTGGCCGTCTCTGGGGTGTGTGTGGCAAGAGGGGTGATGACAGGAGGGTGCATGGGACGGGGGAGCTGGCCTCCTAGTACAGGAGAGAGAAACCCTGGGGAGGAGGGGAGTGTTCCCATGAGTGAGTTCTGCCACTCGGCAGGGCCAGAAGTTGCCAGAACAGTGTGGGCAAACCTGGGGAGCACTCATGGCAGCCCAGGGCAGGGGCTCAGCCCAAAAGGAACAGCATAGTGGGGTCACACCACAGCCTCAAGTCGGGGTGGGGCCTTTGGGGACAGAGACCCAGGGCAGAGCTGGGCCCCTCAGTCTTTGGAAAAACATTCCAGACACTTCTTATCTGAAGGTGAAAAGTGAGGCCTCGGAAGGCAGAGGTCTTCCTTCCCGGGAGGTGTGTGAGTAGGAAGCTGCTCTATCCCACCACTAACTTCTCCAGCTCTGCACAGGACTCTGGACAGACACCGTGCTCTGAGAGGCACCAGCTGTGGTGAGCACCAAGTTCAGGGCTGGGTTTTGCCCTGGAAAGAGCGGAGCCTCCGGCTGTCTCCCCTATCAAACATCCTGACCCCACCCACCGACCCCACCCACCGACCCCGCCCGCCTGCCCCATGCCCCACGGTGGGCTGGGCACCATCCGACCGAGCCTCTGGCTTGGGCATGCATCAGATCCGGGCCTTCCGAGGAAGCTGCCTTGGCCCGCGCAGGCTGAGAAGTAAACTCCGGGTCAGGCTGCCAGGGACAGCGTAAAGCACCTGGTTGTCAGAGGAACTGGTGAGGGCAGTTGCTTTCCAAGGAGGTGTCCCCAGGGAAGCGCTGCTCATGGGGCCAGGGGAGGGCCTGAGCCGGGCCAGCCGGGGGCTGGGACACTGGCTACCAGTGCAGGCCTGGAGCAGGAGTCCTAGGGTGCCCCCTCCTCCAGCAAGGACTGACGGGAACTGTGTCCTGGGCGGAGCCAGGGCTGGGTCTGTTTCCTTAGCGGAAACTCGGGATGGGGGGGAGGGGAGTCTGAGGTTCCTGCCCACTCTGTCACACTGAAACCCCCCATGGTCACTGGACTTTCTGTCATGTTTTCCTTTGTGCCTTAGGTCATTAGCACGCAGTGCCCTTCCTTGAGAGCCCACCTTCTGGGTTCACAGTCGGGCCTTTGCCCTGCCCTGTCTGGACCACCCTTCCACTTGTCTTCACCTCAAGGATTCTCTGTCCATTGCATGTCTCAGGTCAAGGTCCTCTCCTACTCTTGCTGGTGGGGTCAGGAGCCTCCTCTGGCCCCCGCTTCTCTGCGGCCCTCCTGCCGGGCCCAGCTCCTCCTCTTCTGCCTGGTTCTTTAGGGCCCACTGTGTGTGGTTCCCTTCCACACCCCCTGGCCTGGTCTGAGCACAGGCCTGGCCCGCAGCTGGGGACCACGAGGGGCTGGTGAACTGTGCTGAGCAGGGGACAAGAGGGGCTGTTGGGTGCGTGGAGCACTGGTGGACCCCAGCCCTGCACTGAGGCGGCTCTCTGTGGAGACCCTCAGAAGCACTGGTGCTGCGTGGTCCCCAGTATGCACAGGGTCACCAGCAGAGAGGTGCAGGAGGGATGCGAGTGATTCAGAGCATGGCCAGGGGTAGGCCTGGCCTGTGGGAAGCCATGCCACCCCTACACCCATGGAGCCTTCTCCTGGGCGCAGGTGCAGCCTCAGGACCAGGGCCACCTCAGCCCGCCTCCCCCTGGGCTGCATACTTCCCCCCTGTGCCCCCCGCCTTCCCTGACTTACCTTGGCCTTGCCCTGGAAGTTGAAGGTCAGCACGTACTCCCCAGGCCGAGTCTCACTCTGGCGGATCACGAAGAGGCCGTGGCTCCGGGGCCCGCCTGCCAGAACCAGCTGAGCTGCCTTGACCCGTGACAGTGTCCCGTGGAACCAGGGGTAGTCAGAGAGCTCCAGCTCGGGCTCAGCCTCGGGCTCCGGCTCTGCTCCATCCTCCACTGCAGAGGGATGACAGTGTGAGAGGCGTGGGGGAGAGAGGGGGCACATAAATGAGAAAAGGGATGCATCATCTTGTTGGGTTTTTGCATGTAAGATGCTGCTGAATAACTTAGAATGAGGCAGGGAGCTGACCCACCCACTAAACATATGAGGTAAACTGAGGCACAGAGAGAAGAAAATGACAGAATAAGAGAATGTAGATTTAAACTACAGACTGGTTTAGCAAATAGCTTAATGATAAGAATGTATCAAATGATGGAATGGGTGCCTTTTGTCTCAAGGAAAGACCATTAATAGCAATTGGCGGGACTTCCCTGGTGGCGCAGTGGTTAAGAATCCGCCTGCCAACGCAGGAGACACAGGTTCGAGCCCTGGTCCGAGAATATCCCACGTGCCGCGGAGCAACTAAGCCCGTGCGCCACAACTACTGAGCCTGCGCTCTAGAGCCCGCGAACCACAACTACTGAGCCCACGTGCCACAACTACGGAAGCCCGCACGTCTAGAGCCCATGCTCTGCAACAAGAGAAGCCACCGCAACGAAGAGTAGCCCCCGCTTGCTGCAACTAAAGAAAGCCTGCACGCAGCAACAAAGACCCAATGCAGCCAAAAATAAATAAATAAATTAATTAATTAAAAAAAAAAAAACAATTGGCAAATGGTTTCTGTTCTCACATAACATACATTAAATGTTCTTGCACCTCATGAACCAGTAACAAAATTCCTCAATACCCCAGCTGTATCTGCTTGTATGTATAACATCAGAATATGCTTATTTCATAATCATCGTCCAGTTTTCTCTGGTTTGGTGGGATCACTTAGATTCCTGGGGTCACTCTCTAAGTCGGCAACAAATCTGGGAACAAATCAAGTGTCTGTGTCCCCAAGTCCTCATTACAATCCTTTGCACCCCTTGCTGTGAGCGTTTTCTACTGAAACCAGGGCCCGTGGGAGCGGTCACATTCCCGGACTAGCCTGCAAAAGCCAGAACAACTGAGTAGCTGTGCAAAGGACCCAGTGGGATGAAATGTCACCGCTTCTGAGGCTCAGGAAGGGCTTGGGAGAGGCCTGGGGGTGCCTGTGGCCTTGGGCGGGGGCGCAGGGAGGGGCAGCAGGAAGAGTGCAGCCCCACTGCACCTGTGTTATTGCTGTCACTGCCGCTGCCACCTGGGGACTCCAGGGTCTCCAGGAAGGTCTCCAGCGGGACATGGACCAGGGACTCCCCGACGGCATCTCGAGCTCGGCTGTGTGGGGCTGTCACCACGGCTGCCGTTGTCTCTAGGGGCCGGGGCAGGTCCGCTGCTGGAGAAATAGCAGGTGAGAAGCACGTCTGTCTGTCTGACCATCTTTGAGCGACCATCCCGTCCGACCCTGCCTCCACTACTCCAGTCAGCTCTGTCCCCGCCTACCATCCGTCAGGAGCTCACAGCTGCAAGAGGCCACACGGCTGGCCAGACAGCTTCCCCGGGCACAGGGGAGATCGGCATCTTCCTCGCTGTCCCTGCGAAGGCAAGAAAGCGCAACCATGTCCTGCCGTGGGACTCGGACCGCCGGCTCATGGAGCCAGGCAGTGGCAGACAGTCCCATGGACAGCATCAGCCCTGTCCCTCTGCCTTCACGTCCCTCTGTCACACCCTCAGCTTGCTCTGTGGCCACCATATGAGTGACCGGGCCATATGGAGATGTCTCCTGGTGGGTGCAGCTCTCCTGGAGGTCACATGACCCCTGCCCCCTAACCCATGACAGGCTGCCCTCCTCCTAGGATCCCATGGAGGCCCTCATACGGGGGCAGGGTGTGGTGGTGGGCGGGGCCAGGGCCAGCTCCCTTCCCCGCCCTGGGCCTTTGTCTCCCCATCTGTGCCAGCTCTAAAGTACCGCAAAGTGAGCTTCACCTTCACGAGGGCTGGGGAACGAGTGTGCGGAGCCGATGGCTGGGAGGGTGGCAGGGGAGGGATAACGACCACTTTGGGGATGGGGGTGGCGGGGCGGGGGGGGGGCAGCCAGAGCGGGAGAGGGGAGGGCGATTTAGGAAGAGGCTTGGGAAAAGGCACAGGGCCCTACCTGGATCTAAGCAGCATCTGCCATGTAGCTGCGGGTGCAGTGCAGGAAGGCTCAGTGGCCAGTGGGGAGGCAAGAAAAGCAGGTCAGCTGGCTCCGAAAGGGTCTGGAATGCAAAGTTAAGATGTTTTGGTTTATTCCGTGTAGTGGAGAGAGGGGAAGGATGTTAAGCAGAAAAATAGAGTAACTCAACCCCTTCTGTCTTTGAAAGGAATCTGGCTTACAGTTTAAAGGATAAATTACAGGATAAAGAAAATAGCTAGCAGGCTGTTGTAGCCTAGAGAACCCAAGAGAAGCAGCTGATATATTAGAGAAATAATTAGGAAGTTCTCTAAGGTATAATGAAAATAGCAAGAATCAATAGCTTTTGTTTATACCAACAGTATCCAGTTAGAAAAGAGAAAGTTTCCATTCACAATAGCAAAGAAATCCTTAGACGTAAACTTAACAAGAAAACATACAAAGTCTAATAAAGAAAATTATAAAACTGCTTTAAAGAACAGGAAAGACCACCTGAATATTTAAATGATGAGACTTACCAAGTCTCAGGGTAGTAAGATCTAAAGTTGTAAAGCTGTTGATTAGTTATCAGCTTCTGAAATTAATCTAGAATCATAGCAAAGTTACAGTTAAAATCCCAATGGGTTTTATTTTGAGGACTTGACCAGTTGATTCTAAGAGTAAATCTAAGAAGTTTGGGGAAAATAAGAATGAGGAGACTCAGCCTATCAGATAGCAGAATGAACTATGAAGCTGTAGGAATTAACAGCTGTGGCATCAGTATGGGAATTGATACAGCTCAGTGGCACGTTTAGGAAGTCCAGAAACAGACCCTTGTACGCGTGGAAAGTCAGTATATGATAGATGTGTCATCTCAAATTAGTGGGGGAAGGAGATACTGTCCAAAAAACATAATTAGGACAACTTGTTTCTAGAAAAAAAGTTAGAATTCTACCTCATACCAAACACAAAAGTTAATTCTGGGTAAATTAAAAATAAACTGTGAAAGTATTAGAGGAAAAAGGACAGATGAAAGGATGGGGTAACATAAAAATGAAAGCTTCTGAATGGCAGAAGGCTGCTCGCAGGCACAAGGAACAGGGACAGACTGGCTGACCAAGGTGCTCAGTCTGGAAAGTAGGGACAGGGGGATGGGGGGGGGGGGGGGGGGCCTGGGAGGCGCTCAGGACTTTAATTGTGCTTCCTTAAATGAAGCTGTTAATTAGGAGGCAGCAGCCCCTCCCCCGGGGCTTGGCTCACCCCAGTAGCCAGAGCTGCTGCCAAATGCTCAGCCTGCTGGCCTGCCTGCCCCTCCTCCTCCTCTCCCGCGTGGTGCAGCCAGCCTCCCTGCTGTTCTTCCCGCACACAGCTGACCATAGCTGCCCTCTGCTTATTACCAGCCATGGCTCCCCACTGCCCCGACCTACCAGCTTCCGGGGCTCTCACAGAAGCCTCCTCCTCACGGGCTCTAATTCCAGTCCCCCGAGGGCCCCGACATTCCCTGCGAGTCCCAGGTCCTCGCACACCTCTGCAGCCTTTGCCGGGCTGTTCTCTCTCCCTCCTCCCTGCTGCCCCCAGCCCCCTCTGCCAGGCTCAGGCCCGCCCTTTGTTTTAGCCGCAGAGAAGGGGGGCACCTCTACCGCTACAGCTCCTCGGGGCCCCACGACTGGATTAGGGGCCTCCCAGCCCCACCCCTGGCACTTTGGGCTCACCCCATCACTACCCCTCCCCTAGTGGTTTCAGCCTCCCCCGGAGTGAGAACAAGACTTGATGCAACTTCCCTCCAGGTCCCCAGACCCTGAACCTACAGAGCCTGCTGGGAATGGGGGTGTGGGTGATCTGGCCAGCACCCGCCTGAATTGGACTGCAATGAGAAAAGCCCATGTGTCAAGCTCAGCTCCTGCCCTCCCCGTGAAGGCTGGACCAAGGGCACAGCCGAGCTAGGCCCCCCCCACCCCGTCTTCCCATCCTAGGAGCACTTGGGCACTCACCCAGGGTCCACACAGCCCTGGATGTCAGCTACCCACGAGTGCTTCTGCAGGGAGTCGATGGTCTCCAGGATGTACTCTGCTCCGTTCTCCACCTGGGGAGGGGGTGGCGAGAGTCCAGATCACAGTCAGCACCCTCAGCAGGAGGCTCCGGAGCCCAGGACAAATGGCTCATCCCAGCCCTCCCCCTTGGGGGCTCACTGGTGAGGGCAGCAGGAAAGACAATGGGGTCCCGGGGTGGAGCCCACACTCTCAGCAGCCCCTTCCTCCTGGGCCCACCACTGGGGATCAGGGAGATGATGTCCAGCCCTGCTGAGCTCAGGTCCTCAGGCCCTGGAGATGCAGCCCTGGAGGAGGCCGTGCTGGCTGGGTAAGGGATGGGGAGGTGCTGTGGAAGGGCATCACAACCCTCAAGTCTGTGAGGGGCCGGCTGGCCCAGCACTGAGTTGAGGGCCCACACGCCTTTGCGTCTGGAACTCCGCCTCTGTGCCACTCCCCTGGGATAAGAAGCCTCCAGAAGGGAAACAAGGAGGACAAAGCCGGGCCCAGAGTGTGATCCTGCACATACATTGTCTGATGAACTCTTCCCAACAGCCCCGTGAGGGAGGTGATGCTTTCCCCATTGTACAGATGAGAAGACTGAGGTTCAGAGAGATCAGGTAACTCGCTCAAAGTCACACTAGCGCTCTGTGGAGGTGTTGGGACCCCAACCCAGGTCTCTAAGGCCAAGGCCTGGGCTCTGAGCTTCTTGTCGCCTATCTCAGTAAAGAGCAGCTGGACTCCCAGCATCTCAGAGCTGGGACGGTCCTCGGAACTTCCTTCATCCCCTCTCTGAATGGATGGGGAAACTGAGGCCCACAGCAGGCCGGCAGGTGAGCCCGTTGGCCTCAGGGCTCCTGAGTGTAATCAGAGACACAGAGGCCACCCAGCTGTCGGGGGCGAGGCTCTGACCTGTCTCATCCAGCAGATGAGAGTGCCAGGCAGGGAGGGACCGTGTCCTCAGTCCCCTGCCTGGGGTGACTCAGGGTATGGGGTTGGCAAATGTTTGCTAAATGAATAAGAGAGTTCATGACTAAACAAACAGGGACAGTAAAAACATAAACCCAACCGGAAGCCTGGAGATGAGGTGCGGGGGGCCTCCATGCAGCTTCGGGTGGGTGGAACCAGGCTTCCTGGGGACTTGGCCTCACAAACATCCTCTAATCCTCCAAGGAGGCACAGGGCCACAGCCCTGGCAGCCTGGAGCCATGTCCTCAGCAACCCAAGCAGGCCACCCCGGTGATGTGGAGCCTGGGAAAAAGAGGAGCTGCCCCCAGACTCACTGGGGTGCCTCCCTGCCCACCCTCAGGGCCTTTGTGCCCTCTGTGGGACCAGGCAGGTTCCCCCACTCCAGTGCTGGTGACAGGAGCATTTGCATAACTGCTGCAGGCTGGCTACCAGTTCCTGCCTGTGGGGTGGGTGCTTGCTGACTCCAGTGGGGGAAGGGAGGGGAGGAAGTGAAACTCAGGACCTTCACCCAGGCGCAGGAGGAAATGGGAACGGGGCCGCACATGGTGGACTTGGACGACACCTGGGCATTTGGCTTTGGAGCCCAGGCCAGGATTCACATCCTAGCTATGTGCTTGACATCTGCGTAGGATCCTGGGACCCCCAACCAGGGCTCCCTCCCCCTGCCCTGCTGCTGGTCCTTTACCCTCACCTCCCCCGACACTGCCCTCAAGCTCTGCCACCCATGAGGGATCTGTAGGGCCCGGGGTGGGGCTCACCTTGAGCACGAACGTGTTGTCTTTCTCCGGCATCTCCAGGGGCATGGTGGTGCGGACCTCAATGATGGCCGACAGAGGGATGCTGACTTTGGGCCTCGAGGCCTGGGAGGCCAGAGGAAAGGGCAGTGAGACAGTGGCCCCAGGGCCTCCTGAAGCCCTCTCCCCCTTTCCCACTCCCAGAGGTCAGAGCAGCCCTCAGCTTAGGATGTCAGACAGCCCTGGCACGGAGGTGTCCCAATCCCCATTTCACAGATGGGTAAGTTGAGGGAGTTCCTGGGAAACAGAGGGACCCCCCCATATAGTCACACAGCAAGTCAGGGACAGAGCTGGGACTGATATGAGTCTCCCACCTCTGAGCCCTGAGGGGGTGAACTCTGCCCCAGCTGCCCTTCTTGCCCAGCGCACCTACCGGATCTGTGGTTTTCACATTTTTCACCTTGACACATAGTAAGAAATACATTTGATGTTGTGACCCAGTACACACACACAGGTAAAAATATCTCTGAAACACATGTTTCACCAGACAATATTTACCCTGACTGTGTGATGGAGTGTGAGATTTTCTATTCTATTCTAGTTCATTTAAAATAAAATGCTCATCTCCCCCTTCAGACTAGATTTTCCACAGCACAGGTCTGGAGCCTCAACTCAGAACAGGACTCCTGGAGCCGGGCAGGCCGTGTCTCTAGGTGGAGGAAAAGGGACCAGCGTGGGATTTAACCAAGGTGAGCTGGCAGGACTCCTGGGGACGGTCACTCTGTGCCTGGACCCCCCACTCTGCCCCAAAGCTCCTGGCCCTGGCATGAAGGCCCCCAGGGGCTGCCTTGAGACTGAGATTCCTGGCAGGGCTTAGGCTTTGGGACAGGGGCTTTCTTGGGAGGAAAGGGAAGGGCCACACGTTGGGTGGGCAGGCGGACGGGAATTCCTGGCAGCACTGGCTGCCATCCAGCAGAGCAGGGCTGCGCTTGGGGTGGTGACTGCGAGGCTTGGCTGACCATGGCAGGCCATCAAGCCAGCCAGCGGGGCAGGGGCCGCGGTCCCGGAGTGGGTGGAGCAGACAGGTCTGCAGTGAAGGCTGGTCTGGGAAGTATCGCTGGGCTCCCGCTGGCCACAGGCGGTGATTCCTCTGCCTGGCACTTGAGGCCCGCCTGTCCTGGCCTAGCTGCCTTTCACCCGGCTCCAGCTCACTGTTAGCACTTCCCTGGACAGAGCCATCAGGCTGTTTCTCGACCCCAGACCTTGGCTCACTCAGCTTGAGTCTCCAGAAATGCCTGTCCTGGGGCCCTGCCACCTGGTGAACACTTAAGAAGCTTCTCCTCCTTGTGACCCCCAGAGCATCCCGTGCTCACCCCACTGAGGTTTATTTTACCATCCAGTCCAGCAAATATCACTTGCCTGGTGGTTCCCTAATGGCAGAGGGCCAGCATCATTGCTCCCTGAGTCCCAGGGCTGGCTGGCCTAGGGCTATGAGGGCACCTGGGGTCCAGGAGACTTTTCCTGCAGGGTGAGTGAGAGGGCAGGATGCTGGAAGCCTGACACACGGGGCTGTATGAAAGAGCAGTCCGAGGGTCCCAGAAACAGCCCCTAAGCCTGCAGACCCCAAGCCCCCGTCTGCTCCAAGGGTGCAGCTAGGCCTTCAGGGGCAAGAGGAGGAAGAAATCTGGACTGCGGGTGGGTGAACAAGACTCAAAGGCAGGGGGAGTGTCAGCAGGGACTCCCCGTGGGGCTCATACACCCTGGAACCAAACATATTTGGGAAACCGGACCTGAGCCCTCACCAGGCATGCTTCCCACCTGGCTCACTCCTGAATTCAAACATTTGCATGAAAAAAGGAGGGTCTGAGGCCAGATCTGGGATAGGAACCCACCTGCCTTTCGCAGAGGTTGGGAAAGTGACCCCTCAGGAAGCCTGCCCTCTGCCAGCGGTGAATGGTGGGCTGCAGGGGGTGGACTACGGCAGAGGGCACCGGCTGCTGTGTCCCCTCCCTCGAGGGCAGCAGACATGCTATTTACAGCTGAGCAGCTGTGGTTGCCACTCAGGGCCTAGAGGCATGGAAGCCCTGCCCTGTGGGTGACCCTGGGCAAGCCCCACCCCACTTCCCTCCCCTCACTGGGCCTCGGTCTCCCTGTCTGACAAACAGTGGACTTGGGCTTAGTGGTCTATGACTCTCTCAGGGACCTAAAGGTGGGGGCCTGGGCAGGCACAAAGTCCTTGGTGAGTCTGGGCATCCTGGGACTTGGGGAGAAAGCTCTTCAGAGTCAGTGTGTCCCTGGGAGATCATCTCTCATGCGGCTCATGGGCACCCAGCCTTGGGGAGCCCACACCCTGCACCTCCAGGGGAGAAAGGCAAGGGGAAGCGTCCAGAGTCCCGACAGACAGGGAGATGGAGAAGGAGGCAAGACTGCAGGGTTGCCTAAAGACAGCGGGGAAAGAATGGGCCCAGAGGTGGGTGAGGGCCCTGGGCAGACAACCTCCCACCCTTCCAAACCTCCCAGTGCGCAAGGAGCTCCCACCTCCACACTCCTTTCATTCCCGAGACCACCAGGGTGATGGGTATAATTAGCTCAGCTCTGCCTCCCGCGAGCTGCGTGACTTTGGGCAGCCCACACCCCCTCCCTTCGTTCTCTTCTCTTCTGTGACCTGGGGACCATGCTGACCCCCTTGCCGGGGCAACTGGGAGGATGAGGGCTCTCAGAAAGCGGGCACTATTGTTAGAGTTATTCCCTCTTTCCAAACAAGGCAGATTTGCTCCCCTGGAGGAGACCCAAAGCTGCCCTCAGGGCTCTGACGTTGAGCCCCCAAGAGAGGGGAGGGCACAGTGCACCCAGGTGAGTGGCCATGCTGGTGACAGCCAGGAGAAGCTTAGCTTTTGAAATTTGGGCCGGAAAGGGGCCACCTGGGCAGGGGCTGGGCTGGAGCATGGCAGCCAAGCTGGGGACAAGCAGATTTCCCCTGAGCCAGATGCAGACCTCCGGCAGGCCCTCTGTGAGTGTGCCAATGTCATTGCCTGCTTTCCTCTCTGGGGAGGCTCCAGCCACCCAGGGGCCCCAGGTGAGGGAGAGGAGCCCAGGCAGCCAGGCTCTCCAATACCTCCAAGAACAGTACCCAGAACCCCTTCTGTAGCCAGAGGGCCCTTCTGACACCTCATAGGCAGCAAAAGAGGGCCTGAGGGGTGACACGCCCCAGAGGCAGAGGGGGGCCCCTGGCATCCCAGGTTCCTGACCCTGAATACTCCATCCTGCCCATCAGATCAGGCAGTGTGGTCCCCGAAGCCAGCCCCTCCACGGTCCCCCCAGGTGGGGGTGGGCACTCACCTTTGGCGGCACGAAGAACTCTAGGCGGAAGCGCTCGCCTGCCACGGCCCTGCGCAGGAGCAGGCGACACTTCTGCCACTGGGCGGCGCCCCCGGGGCCCGCGGCCGCGTCGTCGGCCACCATGAAGCGCAGCGCGCCCTCACGCTGGATGTCCACCAGCTCCACCTTGGCCGCTAGCGTCCGCGACAGCCGCAGACGCCGCGTCCACTTGTCGCGCGGCTCAGCTGGGGGCTCGGCGGCCCGAGGGGCGGCGTCGGGCTCGGGCGAGGAGCGCCGGTGCCACATGTCGCGCACGCCGTCCACCACGCACAGGCTCATATTGCGCAGCGAGAAGCCCTTGCGGACGCGGGCCTTGGCCGCCGCGTGCGCCGACACGTCCTCGGAGCTCCGCGAGTGGCCGTAGGGCGCGGCTTTGAGCGCCGGGGGCCCCGAGGGCTCGGGGTCCATGGCGCCTGGGGGCTCGGCCGCTCCCCGGGGCGCCGGCCCGGCCACCAGCACGCGGCGCACCTCCTCGCTGAACACGTCCAGGAAGTTGGCGGCGAAGTGGCGGGAGAAGGAGGCCCCGGCGTCGGGCGTGTCGTAGGCCGGGTTGTCCCGCAGGAAACGGCAGAACTTGTGCGCGAAATCCACGGCGGCCGCCTGCGCGTGCAGTTCACAGAACTGCCGCCAGTCCGGGACCGGAACCGGGACCGGGGCGGCGGCGGCGGCGGCGGGGCCGGGGGCGGCACCATTCATGGCTCCCGTCCCATCGCAGCCCCCGGAGGCTGCAGGTAAGAGGAGCGAGTGAGTGAATTCCTGACCCATGTCCAGAGCGCCCAACTGCCCCACTCCCCCAGGGCTGTGTGCAGCCTTTCAGAGCAGCTTCAATGTGTGAGGACAACAGGCAGGGGGGACACGTGTCTGCAAGAGGGGCACTCTCCTTCAAGCAGCAGTCTCAGGGAACCCCAAGGTCATTCCTGGGCTTGGCGAGGGAGGCTGGGATGACAGACGCCTTCAAGTGGGGTCCCCAATGAGCCTCCAAGTGACCTCGCTTCCCTGAGTACCCTCTTCTGAGGGTCCCCAAAGTTTGGTGGACAGGAGGAAGTCATGCGCAATCCTCTTGGCTCTACCTTTGAAACATACCAGGAACCCCACCCCTCTGCTGCTCCCCGCCATCCGTGCTGCTGGCCTGGGACACACACAACCCTTTCTCCTGCCTGCAGTATTTTAGCAGCCTCTTCATTGGTCCCCCGGAACCTGACCTCACCCCCTATAGCCTGTTCTCCACCCAGGAACCCAGTCATTTCTAAAGCATAAGACAGATCAGGCCCTCCGCTGCTCAGAATCCTGCAATGGTTTCCCACCCCACTCAGAGTAGAAGCCAAAGTCCTACCCATGGCCCCCAAGGCCTCACGTGATCTGCCTCCATTTGACTCTCTGAGCTTATCTCCCGCCACTCTTCTTGCCCACTCTGCTCTGGTCACACCTGAGTCCCACCCCAGGGCCTCTGCACTTGCGATTTTCTCTTGTACTTGCCTGGAATGTCCTTTCCCCACACCCCCTCACGTTTTTCAGGTTTCTGTTCAAATACCATCTTGTCCGATAGCTCTCCTTGCCCACTGCTCTATTTGGAATAAGAAATTCTCCACCCAGCGCTGGTGTCTCCGTGCCCTCTGCCTGCTTACTTTTCTCCACAGTGCTTATCCCCATCTGACAGTCTGTTTATCCACTTGCTTGGTCTCGTTCCACTCCCCCCGGGACCGCCACCCCCACCCCAGCACCACACCCTCCCCGGAGAATGCCAGCTCCACAAGGCAGCGGTTTTGACAGCTTCATATGTGGCTGTGTCCCCAGTGCTGGGCACATGGCAGGCACTCAGTGAACACTGAATGAATGAATGAACAAATGAATGTGTTCAGCACACCAGGCATGCCACAGCTGTCACTGCCCAAGCCGTCACATGGGGCCTGAGAACACACAGCTTGTTAGTGACAGACCAGGGATTCTCACGCTGACTCTGAGAGTTTGGGGGTCACCTCCCAGTGTGGATCCAGTATGACCAGTTTTTCATACTGGCATTGAAGGCGCTGCCTCTTCAGACTTCTTTCCCTCACCGTGGACTGGCTGCCTGCTCTACTTGTGTTCCCACCTCCTGGAATCCTGTTCCCTCCAGAGCTCCCATCCAAACCGGACCTTCCTGAAGAGGCCCTGACCGGGGAATCCCACCTTTTTCCTCCTATCCCCAGGTGCCTCCATGCTTCCTCACTCCGGACTGCCAAACTGCATGGTGTGTGTCTAGTCATCTGGGGGCCTTGCCTCCTCATCCCCCATCACTCCTGGGGGCACAGGCCCAGCCATTCTGTTTATGCATCTCCTCCCCCACAGGCCAAGGTGAAAATTACTGGTGGAGAAGTGGGGTGATGCGGTCCTGCCCTGCCTTAGGGAGCCCCTGTCTGAGGGGGCCGGCCAGTGTTACGGGAGCTGAGACAGGGGGTCATGCCCTCGCCTGCCTTTCCAGGATCCCCACAATTCCCAGCATGGCCCTTCCCTCACAGCTCCTGGGAGCACCATCTCCTCTCTCCTCTGGGATCCAGACTCTGTAATTAATCGCCAGGTAAAAATAGCTGCCCCACTTCTGTGAGATCATCTGTGGGGCCTCTGGGCCATAGGGTACCGTGGGAATTCCCTCTCACCTTGGGGCAACCTCAGCCATCGATCTGCAGTCAATAACCACAGGACAGCCCCAGGGAGGAAACAGGCCACTTGATGAGGCCACTTAGCACTGAGGACAGTTTTCCTTCCAAACCAGCAGGTCTCAGAGGCTCTCACCCCAGCACTGGGGGGAGAGTAGCAGGGAGTTCGGAGGGCTTCCTGGAGGAGGTGGGGGCTTGCACTGGGCTTCATGCTGGCAAAGAGGATGAAGAGTGCCTTCACTGCAGCCATGAGCAGTAACTTGGAGGCAGACTTTTCAGGACATGGGGGAGGGGCTGGGGGAGAACAGGGGCTGAGGCACCCATGAATGTGGCTCATTCTGGGCCTTTCTCCTGCCCTGCACTTCCTTCTCATCTGGCTAACTCCTACTCATCCTTCAAGAATGAATCCAGGGGCCACTTCCTCCAGGAAGCCTTCCCTGACCTCCCCTGCCTCCCCAGCCCAGGAGATAGGTGTTTCCTCTGAGGTCCCACAGTCCCTGCCTGTGCATCCCTCTACCGAGGCGCCCACTGCAGGGTGCCCCAGGTATCTGTTTCCATGTCTGTCTCCCACCTGGCACAGGCACTCCTTGAGGGCAGAAGGCAGGCCTGAGTCATATGCCCGGAATGGGGGTGGAGGCAGGAATTCACCTGCCACCATCACCAAGGCCTTGGCCTGACCTGTGGAGAGCGGGTGTTTCTGAGGGTGGGGCGGGGACGAGGCCCTGCAGCTGAGCTTGTGAAGCCCCGTCCCTGGGCTCTAAGCCCATCCATTTACCCAGCAGGGCAGTGCTCCCCACAGGGGCCATCTCTCTCCCTCCTGAGACCACCAGGAGAGTCAGACTAGGTGACAGGGCAGCCTGGGAAGGGCTAGCACTGGAGCCAGCAGCAAAGTGTGGATGCCCCTCTTGCCATAATTTTGCCCTCCATGGGGCAGGTGGGGGCAGGGAGGAAGTCGGTCCCAGTGCCACATCCTCAAGCATCAATCCCCGTCCCTCCCACTCTTCCTGCTGGTTGAGAATATTCTTGGCAAGGAGAAGGGGTAGAGTGGAGGGACAGGACCCAGGGGAGAGGCTTTCACTGGGTGAGGGGGCAGGGGGAGGGTCCCATCTAGGCCTCACTGGAGGCAGGGGTGGAACTCGGAGAGGAATCTGCCAAGGGTAGGGGGCACATGTCCTAGGCAGGCACTGGCCTGGGAAGCACAGAGGTTGGGGCTGCCTTGACCTCCCCCCTCGCCTGCCCTGTCCGCTTGCTGACTGGCCAGGAGCCTATGGGCCTGATGCCCAGCACAGCAGCCCTCACTGTCCCCTGGGTCCAGCTGGGGCTACACAGAAGTGGCAAGGGCTGTACAGCCAGGGGGGTAGAAGTCACAAGCAGCCGGGCCAGCCCGGGAGCCCCAGCCCTAGTTACAGACTGAGGCCCAGGCATGGCTCTCTGTGAAGGGGAGGCCGCGAGCCAAGAGGAAGATGGCTCAGCCCCAGCAGGGCACGGGTGTGCTGTCCCCAACTGCCCGAGGGCCAGAACTGGGGAGGAGACCGAGTGCAGGGACTCTGCTGACCTGGGCTCCAGGCCTGACCCCACTGCTCTCTGGGTGAAGGGCGTTGACCTCAACTCCGGCCTCTGGGCCTCAGTTTCCTCACTTAAATAATGAGGATGGGGGAATTCCCTGGCGGTCCAGTGGTTAGGAGTCCGCGCTTCCACTGCAGGGAGCACAGGTTCGATCCCTGGTCAGGGAACTAAGATCCCGCAAGCTGCGTGGCATGGTGAAAAAAAAAAAAAAAAATGAGGATGAAGGGCCGCCCCTCCCTGGAAGGACAGCACAGGAAGTGGTCTCTGCTGTGTTATAATCCACGTGTACCTGTGGGCAGGACTAGGCCTCTCCAAACCTTTGGGTGGAGCCAGGAGGTATCTCCAGGGACCAGTCAGTGTGACACCCAATCAATCATTCTGCAGGTGACCACAGACCCAGATGTGGGAAAAGCACAGCCTCAGGGGGAGGGGAACCCAGAGGTACCAGAAGCAGGGTGGACGAACTCACCGGGCTCCTGCTGTCTGGCCTGTCCGGGAAGGTTTATGGATTGACTCCAGCAGGCCCTGGGCTCTCCCTCCTCCAGTGGCTCCTTGGGAATTTCCGCCTGAGTCTCTGCCTGTGTCACTCTCCAGCCGGCTGGGACTTTCTTCCTCACTGGCTGACTAGTCAAATTCTGCCCCACCTTTAGGCTACGTAAAACACTCTCCTCTTCCAGGAAGCCTTCCCCCTACACTGGCCCTTCCATCCTGAGCTCCCATGGCCCCTGTGGTCCTTGGCCCTCATGCTTCCATGGGCCGGGTCCCAGCTCCCCCTCCTCTGGCCCCAGGGAGCCAGAAGAAACCTGCCGAGTCAGTGCGAGACAGCAAGGGGCTGGCCAGTGGGAGATGTGGGCTCTGTCTCGGGCCAGGCCCTATGTCTCCCGAGGCCTCGGCTCCCCATGGGGGGCTGGAGCAGTGGCCTCCAGCAGCCCCTGTCATGGCCCTTGGACACTGAAGACTGGGGCCCTACAGTCCCTCCAGGAGTGGGACCAGAGGCAGGCAGGAGGTTGCCTCTCACCTTCACAGGCTTCTTCTATGAGGACTCCGGTGGAGACAAAGGGAGCCCCACCCCCATTCCGCCTGGCCTGGGGATCAGGTGGTGGCCCCCCAGCGGCCCTGGGTGGGCAAACTACCCTCCCCAATCCATCACCCTGGGGTTCTTCCAGGCTCAGCTGGGCTGTCTGGCTTCTCCTCCTGGAGCAATGTTTTTTGTTCCCCTCTTGCCAGGGCCAGAGGGTGATGGGATGGGGCTTCAGGGAGGCAGGGCAGGGGGTGGGACGGGGAGGGGAAGCATAATCCAGTCCCTGCCTGTTGCCTTTCCAAGCCGTGGACTCTCCTAACCCCTCTGCCAAGAACCAGACGGGAGAATCCCCCAACCCCCACCCGGTTAGAAGCCTGGGAGAGGGGGTGGCTGGCCTTCCGGTGGTAAAAATAGCACTGACGATTGGAAAAGAGGAAAGAAAGCCAGCCATCAGCCCCCAGTGGCACGCAGTTCCGGACCCCATGGCCAGGTCATTCCTTAAAAT